TCTCTCCTCTCTGTCTCTCGTCTTTCCGTCTCTCTTCTCTCTCTTCTTTCGCTGGAGGATCCGGGCAAAGAGCCACATATAAAGGACTCTTCACCCCTGCCTCCAAAAAGAGCGCCGTGTTTTTTACTACCTCTCTGCCCTCCACTTTCCCATTCTGGAGCGCTAGCTTTCGCCCCTCCCTTGGCCTCAAGTATCTGGAGCTATGTTAGTATTCAAAAGCAGTGGAAACAAACGGGGAAATCTGGGCAAGGTTGGACGCTGTTGAGCCTAACGTGGAACAATCGAAAGCATGTCTTGAGCCACATCGGTGGTCTATGTTAGTGTGTGCGCCTGTAGCACGTCTGGCTATCTCTGCATTTCTGTGCGCCTGTAGCGTACTGGGTGTACGCTTGCAAGGGGTGCTGAGGTTCAACTGTGGACAACTTGGGGAATTTGAGGGATTGTTGGATGCTTTGAGTCTAACATGGAACATTTCAAGATCAAACACCGTGCTCACCGGGCAGCTTTTGGCCATTCATCTGACCCTGCTGCTTGTTGGCCATCAGGTATTCTATGTTAGCATCTGCGGTCCCGCTGCAGAAACTAGCCATGCTTACTTGGGAGTGTTTTATGTTAACCTCCAAAAACCACATAGCTCCAACCACATAGTCCCAACCTTTGCTTTCCTATTTCCCCAGGAGGTCACCGTTGCAGGTGTGCCATGTTAATGAGCACCAACTTTGAGACCCGTGCTTTATGGTAAATTTCCCGGGAGTATTGATTTCATCATAGGAATTGAATGGCAACTAAAATTGGATTTAGAACTAGGTCTGGATCTGGAGATCAATACCGGTTGGGTGTATATATGAGGAAGTGTTGGAAACCGGATGTGGAAGAACTCGATGAACGTCTGAGGAGCGTGATAGAACAAATGTATTTATATACAGAAAAATATAACACTGTGCAGCTATGAGCGCGCGGTCGAAGGAGAGTGTGTCAGATGGGGTTTTGTGGAAGAGTGAGGCGTTTCCCGCCATGTGTGGGCAGCATGCCTGACTCCCAAGAAGCACTGGGGACATGGTGCTCTTGAGTGACTCTGCAGCGGCCGTGCCGTGTTTCTTTTGCGCAACCACGTTGGATGCTTTCTGCGCGCGGGGGGAGCACAACTGTATTGAACAAACATTTTTGTGTTCCTTGGCGTGTATGGGCCATGAAACACTTTGAGGACTAAGCTGGAGGGCCGCGATAGGGGATCCCCAACAAAAAACAGGATGAAGATCTGAAAGGTTTTCGGCATTATGTGGCAGCGACTCGCATTCAACAGCTCGCATGCAACGAGATGAGTGGTTTTGCAACCTCTACATGTCCCCAATCGTTTTGGCTCAGTACTCCACATTGGGGGCATGCACGGCATGAAGTGCAAGCAATTCGCACACACACACACACACACTATGACACTGTGTGTGAGAACGGGCGCAGGGGGACTGACTGGGTGGGAGTGGGCTGACATGTGAACCTTTGGGACCTCAGTCCTCATACAGTGTCATACAGACGTGCCAAGTGGAAACATGGAACACGATGGCGTCGAAGGATGGTGGTGGCTCAGTGCTCTCCTCAGTGCCATCCTGGCCTGCCTACTGGAGGGGGAGATGCAGTGGAAATGTTTCGGCGGCGTGACTGAGGCCAACAACAACCCCCATCCATTGCAGTCCCTTTGCTGCAGGTATTTGCTCCAAAAAATTGTGGGGGAGGTGCGGGGTGACAGCGGGCAAGTCATGCATTTGTTGGACCAAGGCTGCATGCGCAAATCGATGCTTTGTTTCGGAATTCCGAGCCTCCTACCTGCATCAAAGTACCTGAAAAAGTCTGAAAGTGGGAACGGCGCAAAGGGCTGCCATGTCTCCTTCAAGGTGGCCAGACATATTGCACTTTTTGCAGCGTGGCTATGAGAAATGCACCTTCGAGGGCCGGGCCGAGATTCAGCTGCGGTTGAGGCAGCGCCAGCTGATTGATTGGATTGAGTGTTGGAACAGATGGTTTTCACAGACTTTGGATCCCTGATTAGTGCTTGGTGTTCCCTTTTTGTGGTGCAGTTTGTGTGTGGTGACTGGGTGCTGTGTGTGGTGGAGAAATGGTTTGGACAACATAGAAACATAATACCATGAGTCGTCCGTAAGATAGTTGGGATTGGGAGAACTCACAATTGAAAAAACAACATATTGCATGCATGTTGAAAATACATTATAGGGGAACCAATGGGATAACCAATTCATGTGCAATGGGGGAACGTCAACTCGATGCGGCCATATATGTTTTGTTTAGTATTTTTCCTGGTGCTTTTCGTGGCAGGTGGTTTGTCTTTGTTTGTGGCTTAATCAATTTTTAACATGGTTTGTTATTCCACGCAAACATCTTTTCAATAGTTTGGACGGTCGTTGGGCCTTGGGAAACACCATCTTGCAGGAGGCTTTTGCATGAGTGTGTCTTCACAGGCACGGAATGACATTGTTGTATAGTCTTATATAGTTGTTTGATTCAACCATGTTCTTGCTTGAAACTGTGGAAGGATTAGCATACTTTGTGGAGTTTGTTGGCAGGTAGCAAAAACCAAGCTGCCTGGGAAGAGGCTTTGGTGCGCCCTTTGGTAGCTGAGGCTTCTGCGCTCCGTGAAGGTCGGGCCAATGAACAAAACCGTTTGTTTTGCGGTTTTGATCATGATTTTGGAGAACATTCTGCAGAAATGGTAGTATTTTCATGTATTTTCGAGCGAATGGACAATTTTCATTGATTACGGCAACTACCGCAGTTGGTGGCAAACAAGTTGAAAGGACTTGAAACTTTTGACATGTCATGTTTGCTAGGGAACACTTGGAGCAGTGTCCTTACGTTTGCCGCTACGCTGGAGACTCAACACCTACTGGCGGCCGTCAGCCATGGTTTTGCATTGGCAGTTAGGGCGCCGGTGGTGTGGGTCTTCCGGCTGGTTTCAGTGAGTGTGTTTTGCTTCATGGTTGAGTGGCACTAAAGTTTCGGCAATTGTTCCCTGCAATGTGGAATCAAGGATAGATACTGTAGCCTGTTTCGTTTGAGGTATGTGAAGGCAATGTCAATGCTTAACGCACTGCGCGACAGGAAGGGCACGATGTGAGCTTCCAGGAGAAGCATTTCAATGGCTTAAATCGTCGCGGCTGGTGCAGGGCGTTAGCCTTACTGCCATGCTTGGTTCGCGCCAGGCAAGGCCAGCCAGGGGGATTTCTGAATGTTATGATGTCACAAGGTTCGTTGCTGTCTAGGAGCTTGCGACTCAGCAGCTTCCGTGACAGCAACTTGCAGCTATTTGCGGCCTCAACATTGCAGAGAGCCTCCCGGGAGTTTTGCTCGCAGGCATGGCAATGCCCAAAAGCCAGTTTGGCATGAACAAATCATGATACTGGAGATTGTCAGCATTGGATTCTCAGCTTTGAGGGGCAGGTTTTTTCCAATGTTTTGACACAGGTCGTCGTTTTGCCGTACAGCTTTTGCAAGGCGTTGCCGCTCATGCGAGGATTTGCATTGCTCGGTCCAGAAATGTTGATGCTGCTTGATTTTGCGGGTGGATTTGGTTGGTGTTGAGAGCGGCTACAAAGGTTTGCTTCAGCCTCCACAATCTAGGAGCCAAATCATTAGTGCGAGCGCTTCTTCAAGGAAGCTCCCCCCACCGCCCCTTTGGGCGGGGGGGAGCTTCCTTGAAGAAGCGTGAGCTATCCTGCGTCCAGTAGGTAGTTGCTCAAGTAGCTAGCAGCTAGTAGCGAACTAGTTTCTTCCCTTACAGTAATTAAATGGGCACGTACTTGATTAAGTAGGATGGCAGAGGGCTCAAAAAACAACATACAAGCAAGATGGCAACGCACAGGAACATTGCGGTGAACACATCGACCTTCCTTCTCCTCGGCATTTGGGGGCACAAAGGCCGGCTGGACCTCCAGACAGTTCGAAAAGCGACGGTTGTAGGCGTGTCCAGCCGCTTGAAGCCCTTGGCCACCCTTGACATTCAGCCGCAGGCTGCATGCTTCCTTGGATTTTCACCTTTTTCATCAATAAAGCGGGCGAGCATCCCTCCTGTCATGGATTGATTCCTTAATAAACTAAACGTGACGCTTCCCTCCCAGACATCTCCACTGCCAGTGTCGGGGTCAATTCTCTCTTTAGCCTCCCGAACCAGTGAATACTACAGAAACAAGACAAACCTTATGTGACCTCCAGGCTTGTTCAATCCGTGTGAATATTCACTGGGTTATGGCACTTCTGCGTGCGGGGTGGGGTTTCTTGTCTTCCTCGTCCCCCTTCTATATAAATCAATCTTTAAAGTCATCATATGACCAGTGCTGCACGCAGTCCTGAATCCATGTTTTGTGGTCAGACTTCAGTCAGCACGTCACCCTTGCTGTACAAGAGCAATTGGCATTGTCACCACTGATGGGCCCCTCCAATTGCTCGAAATTTTCAGACGCCTTTTCCATGGCGTGAAGGATTTTGTGGGATTGTAGACGTGTTGCACGTGGTGGAACTTTGTGTTTGCATTTGGTCCAGGTGACTGACAAATTGTGGGCACACAGAATCCGGAAATAGGACTCATAGGGCAGAGCCTTCGTGAGCGCAGAAAACCTGCAGATGTGCAAGGCAAGGTAGCGTAAGGCAACACCTAAAGTTGATCTTTCACTGCGCTGTATCAGAAATTGATGTGTGTCTTGTTCGCTGTTTTGTGTTGCAAAGGCGCACGGATGCCCGCAAGAAGGGTGGCGGCTTGCTGCTGGGCACTGGGCCTTTGCAATGGGATGAGGAGAATTCGCGAAGCTTTGCAGTGCGCTTAGAGGTGAGCGGAGAGATGGTTTGGCTCGACTGCCAGCTGTTGAAGCTACTAGTAACAGGTGCATCGCTACTAGGAACAAGTGCCTTACTAGTAGTAACAAGAAGCTACTAGTAACAGGTGCTGCAGTGTTTGCCACACATGGCATTGCATTCTTCGTTCTGTGCCCTGAAGGTGCTCTCACCTGGCGAGCGTTTGGACATTGGTGTGACAGCACAGGTGTCCCGCAGACATCCGCAGACTGTGTTTGCTGCAATCTAGATCCATGTGGAAACAACTCCAGAGACTTTTTTGATCCGACCCTTCGTGAATGAGTGTATGACGATTGTGCACTCACACAATTTTTGGTTGCTTGGGCCTTGCCAATTCTGGCATGAACACTAAAGTTTTAGGGGTCGTCCTTGGATGTTAACCAACAACATGAACAGCTGGCCAATTGGCTCGTTTTGACCTTGCAAAACCCCGTGGTTTGAGCGTTTGACCTAGTAGCTGCACTGGAGGCACCCTTTGCGCACTTTGCATCGGAAGCGACAGGGCGCCGCCGGCCACAGGTGGCCTTTGCTGAGGAGGGCAGGTGTGTCGAAAGATACAAACATCATTACAACTTGACCTTTTTAAGGTTTGTTTTTGGCGTCACACTTGTCTAGAGTTCTTTGAGAACTTCTTTCGGCTGACAGCAATCAGGATTTGCTCAGCAGCTGGGTGGTTGAGTCCTCGGGGCTTTTGGTTGGAAGCCATGCAGGCCAAACCCTTTTTGATGTTTCTTTTTGAGGGGTATCCAGCAGACAATTTACATAACAGGTTCCGAGTCTTCTTTTTGCAAAGCCACTGTCAAGTGCAATTGCTCATTGTGGAGGCTTGCGGATCCGAGACGAGCGTTGGAATGCCCGCAGTCTTTGCGCCGGAGACCTTGTCAGGCAATAGGAAAGTCCGGATTTAGAGCAGTTGTCAGAACCAAGGCATCCCTTTATGCACTTGGCAGCCAATTTTCCAATAATGATGAATGCCTCGAAGGCTAACAGTCATGATGAACGGCGAACTGCACTTGTCGGTCAATGGCGACTCTGTGGCAATGTGGCGGGCACAGATTCCTTGCCGGCCTGGGCCTCACTTAACGGGGGAGAAAAAGATACTCCCAGGCAAACAAACAAACCAAACAAAATCAAAGAACTTTTGTTTTGCAACCAATTGCCAGGATTCCTATCTTCCCTGTGGTCGATCTTTTTGAAGGCGCCCCACAGATTCGATTAGAACCTTTAAATTTCGATGGAAAATAATTCTAATAATATTAGAATTAAATACTGTATACAAACATAATTCAACTAGATTTTTTTTATAGATAATACTCTGGTTTTGCCATGTATAGCAACCCTCTCATGTGTGTACATGCTTTCTACGCTATTTGTATTTGGCTCAAGTAAAAGAGGCGCGTCCGCAGCTGTTGCCCGCTGCCGGTCACGACGACGCGTTTCTTGTTCGTGTTTGGTTGTTGTTTGTGTTGGGGTTCCGGTTCACCGGTTCAAGTGGTTATCAGCCGTATCGGCTTCTCATTGTATTCCTGGTCTTGTTACAACACAACAGCATCCTTTCATTAGTGTGGTTGCGGGGTCCACAGAAAACCCGTGCACGCCACATCGACCGCGGACGCCTTCCAGATCGCCTCCGCGTCGATCGTCGCGGCCTCCTGAGCCGCCAGGCCCGCCGCCCAATCCTCAGCGGCGAGGCCTCAGAGCAGGTGCTGCTGCGCGACGACGCAGGGACGCGTTCATTGCCCATCAGGAATGCAATCCGTCGGTTGTTCCTGTCGTTCACGTTGGCGGCCACCGAAGGCCACTTGGGACTTCTGACGAAGTTGAGATTGTTGCAGTTACAGCAGCCAATGATTTGGCTTTGTTAGTCGTTCTTCACCCGTGATCGCGAGTTGACATTGTTTACAGAGAGGCCTTGGCATTTTCATCTTCAGCCAAGTTTTACGTGTGGGCGAACGGTGATTCGTTGAGAGGCAGGCAGCAGATAGGCCGAATCACTGGGGTTCTGATCCGGTGATTGCATTGGACTACCACCAGGTCCTTGACGTTGACCGGAGTGTCAATCCTCCGGATCGTGTGGATCACGTTGGTAATCTGCCTGCGGGCCACGTTGCAGCAGTTCGTCGCTTGCGCCAGGAGATTGTTTGGGGCTTGAATTGTCGGGTGAAGGTGGAGATCATTGTTTTGTCGTGCATTCACGACAGCGTGGTGAACGTGATCACCGCGGTACAGCAGAGTTCATTGTCGGTTGATTGTGTGGTTGTCACCCGCGAGAGGACGGGCCCAGGTGGCAAGTATCAGGTGCTGAGATCGTTGACTCGAGGTCAAGCTGTGATCCTGGACGACAACACTGAGGTGCTGCAAGAGTTCAGTGAAGCGAGCCTCATTGCGATTCAGATTCGCAAACCTCGAGTTGCAGCGATTTTTGGCGAAGAGCTTAGGTCTTGGAGCTTGTCGGCGCCTTGGCTTGTTGATCGTTTGGTGCAGTTCGTACGGCGCCATTCGAGGCCGGGCGATTGAGATCGCATCCAAGCTGCTCCTCACCGGCTGCGTCAGCGCCGCAGGAGCCCTGTTCGCTAGGCCAGTTCCCGAAAGAGCCCGGGCCAATTGTGCTTCGTTCCCGCCAAAAGAAAAACGGGGTTTGGTGGTTTAGCTGTTGCTGTTCGAAGCAAATCGCAATCCCATTCTTCTCAGGGTTCAGGAACCCCGCGTGAAGGTCGTCCAGGATCGAAGCCTTCAAAGAGATCTTTGAGTAGAGTCATCAAAAACCTGCCCAAGGGCCGGCGCTCACGGACCAACGGTCATTGCCTTCGTCCAGTGGGTTGCTCCAGAGATCGGTAGGCCCTGCTAGGATCCAGAGCCCTGGAGAGGAAGATGAAGTCATGCCCAATCCATCAAGCTTGGCCCAAGAATTGCACCTCCATGACGCCCGGTCTTTTAACGCGGTTCAGGTGGCATATGTGGGTATTGACCATGCAGAGTTCGGTCGCGTTGTAGCTGAATCACAGCGACTCATCGGGGAAGCAGACTCCAGAGCCATGCGCTATGAGGGTGTTGCTCAACAAGTCTTCCTGACGTCCCTTGTCGAAGAACTCTGTGGTCAGAATGAAGTGCTTCAATCGGGTCATAATGAGAAAGATGTGATGATTTCCAGTTTGCATGAAGCGGTCCAAGATGTTAAGCAAACTCTTGAGAACCAAATCAAATTCAATCAATCCATGTTTGAGGGACAGCTTCGTAAAGCAAAAGATGAGATCGACCGTTTGTCCGACCTCAACCAGAAGTCCCTCAACCTGTTAGGCCATAAAGATTCAGAAATCCAACGTCTTTGCCAAGAGTCTTCGTCTCGACAAGATCGCATCTCGTCGCTGGAGGCCAAACTGGCTGCTTCAAGCGCGCGGTCATCCAGTCGCCTGCGCTCGTCTCAAAGCCTGTGCCTGAAGCATCTTCGTCCCAGGACACCGAAGGCGGCAATAGAGCCATGTTGGAGTCGATCATGGAAGCTGTTCAGTCACTCAGTTCTAGGATGTCGACACTTGAATCAGGCCAAAATAGCACGGATCCAAGTCATGAAACCCGACCTTTGTTCGAGCGTTCTCATGAAGCAGTTGTTCATTCAACCTCACCTCCTGCAGGAACTCTTCGTGGACTTCGGGTTGCCAAAGGTTTTCCTGGAGGTCCGCCAGATCCCAATGATCAGAGGGGTGAAGGGTCTGATGATGATGAAGAGGAGTTGATTTCAGAGTCACCCTCACATGCTTCAGAAAGAGAGATTGTTGATTCTAGAGCCTTGTTGCGTACCAAGTTGGAAGTAGTTCCACAGACTGCTGCAGACTTTAGAGCTTGGAAGACGAACTTCTTTTTGATGCTTGGCCGCTTGGACATTTCATCAGGTGAGTACTTGTCCAAGTGGGCTGCTACAGCCTTTGAGGTAGGTCAGGAGAAGGAATGCCAGAGTTCGTCGGGCCTGATCCCAAGGTTTGACAGGTGGCTTGCGTCTGAGCTTCTCAAAAGCGTGCGATCCATTCCAGAACTTCTGTTCAAGGTTCAGGGGTATGTTGAACGTTGCGCGCATCAGTCCACAGTCCCTCGACGTAGGATGATCTTGTACATGATTGCTCGACATTTCGATCTCGATCGCACTCGTGCTTCGTTGCTCACGTCGCAAAGCATCTTTCAGGTAGAGCTCAATGGTTTTTCGTTGAAAGATCTCCAGGAGTTTAGTGGTACAGTCATGGTTGTTTCATCGGTTGAGGAATGTCCGGAAGCTTGAAAGGACCATCGATGAGATCAAACGCTCTGCGTACGGTTCGGAACTTCGTGATTTCGATTTCCTGTGGGGAAGATTGCAAGAGCATCTTGTCGAAGAAAGGGAGGACACAAATGCCCGGTCCATTGAGCTTTCGTTGAAGCCGAAACCATGGAAGAAAGATCCCAAGGACAAGCCGAATCCTCCGGCAAATCCTACATCGGTTCTGCCACCGCCTCCTAAAGAGACTCCAGCGGCTCCAGCCGATCCTTCGTCGCCGAAGAATGACCCTAAGGGCAAAGGTGGCAAAGGTGGCAAAGGCGACAAAGGCAAAGGTGAGAAGGGAAAAGGTAAAAGTAAAGGTTTGAGCAAGGAAGAGAAGGCGAAGATGCCTTGTGTCTTCTTCCAAAGGCCCTCCGGTTGTGAGCGCGGGTCGAGCCTGAAGCAAAGGCTGAGGCGAAGGCTAAGTTAGACCCAACCAAAACCAAAGGCGAAAATCATGGCTGTCGTTGCGATCGTGACCGCCCTCTCATCCATGGCCGTGTTATATATTTAGCAAATCCTATAATAATATATTATGCATCGATATACTATTTTCAATATATTTAATGGAAATAGAGATTAAAATTAATAAATAATATATTTGGATATATGAATTATTTTAAGATATTATCGGAAAATATCCTATTAAAAATTATTTGTTTTACAAATTAGATTTAATACAATAGCAAGATCTATATAATCGACCTATAACACTTCTAAAAACCGGATAAATTAATATAAATAAATATATAATATATATATATATATTTAAGATTAATATTGATAAATAAATATATAAATAATGGTTTTAAAATAACAATAAATATTTTAAGAAAAATTAATCGATTATTATATTAAAACTAAAATAATTCGATACATATATTTAAAATTTATAAACAATTATAATAAATATAGCAATTTTAATTAATTAGTAATATTCTTTAATTGAATTTTCGATATAATAAATATAATACATATTTATTTTATATAATATGCAATTTAATAAATTAAAAAATATTTATTTTTAAATAATTTAAATATAGAATATATTTAAAATAACTAAAGATATATAAATCTTCGATGATTTATTCTTATAATTGTCTATTAATCGTATTGTAATTAATTCTATTTTAAATATAAGGAAAATAATTTATAGAATTTATAAAAAATATAAATATGAAATTTAATTTCTATTTAACATGGAAATTAATATTATTATTCGATTCAATAATAATATTTTGAAAAATCAATTTAAACATATTTAATAACCAATACGAAATCATTATATTTCATTTTATTTCTCGGTCGGCAGAGGTGAATTTGTCCGTATTGGGCTGCGGTAGCGAATAGCAACGGATATTTCTGGACCATCATGCCCAAATCTGCAATCTCTTAAGCGTGAAAAGTTGCACCGGGCAAATCATGGAGGTGCGTCACTTCTTCATTCGATTTTTCGGCGATCGTACGCCAGATGGGTTGTTTTTATCTGCGGTGCTGCAATTTCGTGACGGAGGCTAACTAAAATAAATAGTTCTCTCGAACAATGTCTTCATGCATGAAGATCTGATTTGGCTTTTCGTCATTATCTGCAATGAGGAGGTTTAATAATGAATTCATGGTCAAAGAAGAATAATCGCTCTGGGGCTTAGGGTCCAAATGAAGGACACTTGCCAACGTATGAAAATTGTGCCAGGTGACCGAAAAGCCTTGAGCTTCATCATAAAGCGGGATTAACACCTTAATTCGGTTCCAAAAAATAGGTTTATAAAATTTGCAATCCGAATTGGGAAAACCACAAACATATGGGTCACTTTGATGCCATTCATCGATTAACTCTTGCAAAAAGGCCTTTTGCGGCTCGCGGCACTGCAACAACAGTGGCGCAAGAACTGTGCTTTGATCTTCTGTCGAATGGAGGAAGAATTTTTGCCATCCAGCTGATATCTGGCCTTCATGA